GGGAGGGGGGGCAGGGGAGGGGATGATACTCAGCGTGCCCGCCACTCGACGTCACGCCGCGCTGTGAATGCGCACGGAGCGGGTCGCTGGGTGGTTTCGGCGGATCATTACCTCGTTAGCGCCGAATAGAGGCCTCTCTTGTATCGGCGAGCGAGGCCGCCGCCGTGGTGACGTGACGCTGGCGAGAGGGTGGGGGGAAGGTGGGGCGGAATCAGTCAGCGGCGCGCACCGGGTGTCGTCGGCGCGTCGGGGAGGAAAGGGGCGGCGGCGGGTCCGGACACGGCGCGCGCGCGCCGGCAAAGTGAGAAAAGTTTCGGACAATCTCTGGCTGGCTGCTGCGCGCCGCCGCCGCCGCCGCCGCCGCCGCCGCGCGCGCGCGCAACGTATCGCCAACAAGTGTATGACAAAGTCGAAAAGCAAAACTTTTTCCATCTGTGCGCGATGCTGCCGCTCTTCCTCTTTCCCCCAGCAGCAGTAGCAGCAGCGTCCGCTAGGATTATAATTGACAGGGGCGGTGGGAGACACGGCAGCAAGCAGGCGCCAGCCAATCGCAGAGCGGCAGAGCAGTGCGGGTCGACAGAGATGGACTATGAGAGAGAGAGAGGTGGACTAGGAGAGGGTTGGGAAGTGTGTGTGAGTGTGTGTGTGTGTTTCACCCTCGCTGGCTCGTGCCCCCTCTTTGCTCGCTGTGCCTTTGGTGGAGTGCAGCCCGGTCGCTGCAACACGACGCGCTTTTACCGTCTCGCCTGGTGCCCGGGCGGCCATGAAAGCGTCATGAGAGAATGATCGCGGGTGGCCAGGTGGCGCGCGTATCAAACTAGCGGGGCATCGCTGCACTGGCGCAAAAACTGCGGCCAAGGATTTAGCTGCTTGCGAAATTTTTACCTATGCCCAGCCCATGTACGGTAATAAACAATGTCTGCTGTTGGAGGATAAAAGGGAAGACTTTGAGGAACTTCCGTATTTAAAGATACACTCGATCCTCAGATTTTAAGGAGGTCCCCTTAAAAAATGTGGGAAGTTCATTACTTTATATGTTGGGAAAGATCTGAAAGTATGAGGAGTTTTTCCTTAAATATAGGAGTTCCTCAAACTTTCCCCTTTTTTCTCAAAAGATCAGAAGTTGGCTTAACCGTGTGTTCTGCACCACAGTGCCGTTCCGTTTGTAGTAATTATTGCGCGAACTCCTTCAGTACGTAATGAAAAGCCTTCACTCATTGTTCCTTACGAGTGGTCTTCATAGGAAGCGATTGGGGTATACTGGGACATAAAATGATCTCAGGACTTGGACTCCCGCCGCAGAATGGGCGTTTCGGAACTATTTAGCTCAAAACTCAAAATGTTGTTTTAAAATCATGCGTTTTGCAAGATTAGATGGCGTACTTACTTCCCCATAATTTTTTGACCTTATGAAGGGCTTGAAAAAAAGTTACTAGAGATCTTTCAACTTATAGCGGTGAAACATGTGAGACCGAACCTGAATTTCACGCTACACCATTTTCCGAGATGTTCCGCACCGTGTAGTACACACTGTCAATTGCTTACGATCAATAGGTTCGTAATTTTTCAATCCCGACCCCCAAATCGAGACCCTAGAGTAACAGAAAGTAGAATACTCCACAAAAGCCTCTGAGGGACCCAAAATTATGCAATCTGGCGAATATCTTGAAGTGATAAGGACTTTTCAAAACGCATTTCTAGACCGTCGCCCCAGAACCAGTGCAGCACACATCCGCACGAGATGGTGCGGCGTGCTTGAATGGGTGGGGCTTCACCCAGAAACATAGAAAGTTGTAGCAACCATCAACCATATAATGTAATGGTTGAGGTTACGTTAAAATGGTTAAGAACAAAAATGTGGTTCTGGCCACTTTATGATAGTTAATTTCTTATAACCGTATTGTAGTTGTCCCTGATGTAACCGTACGATGTCCGCTACTACTTCTCATTTTACTGGGTATAAGTGCGTGTGCTCTATAGTGGTGTCGTTCACAACAGCAAAACAACTGACGGAGGTGCGGATAGTAGATATTATTAGAAAAATTGTTACTAATTGTTTTCTATTATTTTTAGATCGTGCAAGGCTTTGGCCGAAGCGAGTCCGCGCTGAACCACTAACACCAAGATGGACACACGAGAAACGCTGGGGTGTACTCTCTGCGACAGGAAATTTTCTTACGGATCTTTTCTGCGCCGTCATCTCCGCACGCACACGGGGGAGAAGCCATTCGCATGTTCTTTGTGCGACAAGAAATTTTCACGAGTAGATGTACTGCGTGAACATCTCCGCACGCACACGGGGGACCAGCCATTCGGATGTTCTTTGTGCGACAAGAAATTTTCAC